CGAGGCTGCCAGCACACATCAGTTTACATGCCTGAGCAGACTCGATTAATCGAGTCTGCTCTGATGTGGATTTCCAGTGCATCAGAGCAGACTCCCTACATGTAAGTGCCCTTTGGGTCCAAATTATATTCAGTGACACAAAGCATGTAAAATTTCTTGTGAGACTTTCTTTGTTACCTTTAATGCTTTTTTACAACATACTGAATTTATGTTTTACCAAACTTTGTTTTACTGTAACACTGCTGCAATATAAAACACAGTATGGGTAAAGCAAAGCTGCTAAAATATATGAGCTGCTTACAGACAATTAAAAGGAACAGCGCTTTACTTTAAATTTGATGCGCCACCATGCCAAGCCCAAAAGAGGCAGTGTGTTAGCTGGACTTGGCTCACCTAACGTCTGTATAGATTTAGTGGGGCTTTTTTGACACTTAACTAATAGCTGACTGAATCAGCTAAAAGCACCAAAAAGCCCTGCTGAAGCACCCGATCTTTATGGATGCTGTGGAGCTGGGCTGAAACAATTCACTGCTTCTTCCAGTAAAGCACAGGGGGGTGGGGGGAGTTCTTAATGTTTGTAAGCAGCCATGATTTCCACAAAGAGTTGTCAATATTTCTAAAGTGAGATAAATATATTTTTAAAAGTGCTCATCTTCCCTTCCCATCCTTCCTATTTCTATTTGGAATGTAGTAACAGAATATTTAATTAAGACAAAATGGGACACACCAGCCTAGGAAAAGCTTCTAAACACTGTGATTTCTTCATGTTATATTTAAAACAAGTTTTAAATTAATAGATTCCTAAAACTTGACACAGATAAGCTTCATACAATGGGCACATCTACACATGATGCTATGTCGCTGAAGCAACGTGATATGGTGACACAGTAGTGGCGGCCACAAACAGTGATGCTGCAGCTACAACAACATAGTAACGTGCTCCCTCGGTATAATGCATCCCTAAGGCAACGTAGGGGCTAAAAATAACTGTGCACCACTGACATGGCACAGTAACGGCCATTATTGTGCTGCCATTTAGTACTTACAAAAGGAAGTACTAAATGACAGTGCAGTAACAATGGCACCGTAGGGACACGTGTAGACATGCCCACAGCATCACAACCATCCCAAACTGTGATGAGCAGCAATATCCTATATGTATAAATATTTTAGTAAAATGGCATATGACAGGAAAAGGATATTTAAAAGGAGCCAAAAAACATCTTAAATGCATAAAAATAAAAATTATGGAAGCTTAAGAAGCCTGAGCCTGGAACCCCGACTCCCATGGGTCACTGGAATTTTCTGAGTGGAGGAAGAAATATGGTTGGATCCGGAGTTTGACTTGACGTCAGTCTCAAGTGCATGCACGCACTCAGCTACTTTTACAGTCTTTTTTTTTTTTTTTTTTTTTAAAGGAGTGCAAGATGTAATAGCCACTGCAGTTTACAAGACAGCTTAAATATTAAATTTGCCACAATTTTTCCATGTAATGTTACAAACACACCTGGTGCTCTTAAAATACGAGTTGGATTACTTTGTCCACATGGCAATACTTTGTTCTTCTCTTGGCTGTGGTCTGTACTAGAGAATTTTGCTTTTAGAACAGCTGTTATGAATGCTCAGAAGACAAATTGCAGTGGTTCTTAACACGGCACAAAGAGGTCCCATGGACATACCGAATTCGTAATTGAAGTGGATTAAAGTCAGAGTTCAATCCCCTTTGTAGATGGGTCTCTCTATACAAGCCAGCATAATGGCATGTCTTATATGGTCTGTCAGTTTTCCTGGTTTATGTGGGTCTGCCACAGCAAAGGGAGACATAATTTGGAGAAGAAAACTGATTGTGAAACCACAAAACCTAAAGACTGACAGGTGCAGTATCTGGAAATAGCTTCTTTAAATGTTACTGGAAATTGGCAGCTTCTCTTTAAAGACAAAGCTCCATTGTAGTGGGAACACTGGGAAATATCTTCTTAAAGTGTCAAGAGGAGCAACATTCTAGTAAATGCTTAGAAGTTCTGCACCTCACTCTTCCAGCACAGACTGGAAAAGGATAATTGCTAATAATCACACACAGCAATAGCATGTGTTGCTGTTTAGTTGTGGCTGAAAGAGCAGATTGATCCATATGCTGAAAATGTAAAGCAGACTCTTTCACATACATTCAACACATCAGCAAAAGCAACTTTCTGCAACACAGAGCAACTGTTTTTAACAAAATGCCAGCTTAGAAAAAAGATCCAAAGCTTAAAAGAATGTGTGTGTTAAAATAGGACATTTTATCCTGTATGCTTTGCAGAACACACATACATTACCCCCCCCAAACACATACACAGAAAGACAGCAGTACTGTTTCCCTCTGAAGTATGAACATTTTAATCTATATATTTTGACTCATTTTAATTTGGTGAAGGGTCTGAAGTAACCTGCCCCTTAAATAATTGCACACTACTTGTTATATAACATTCGGGTTATGTATTTTTGGTGCAAAAGAACTTGAATGTTTGTACTTGTATTACTCATTAAATTAACTGCTTGGCAAAATCCATTTTATGAACACCTAAAAATAGGTATTTAAGCCTATTATGCTACTGGCCACTAAAAAAAAAAAACAAAACAAACAAACCCTGAATGTTGCTCCTCAAAGGAGAAGCAGGAAAGATTATGGTTTCTCAGAACCCAATGGAAAACATGTCATTCTCCACCTCCGATTCAAGTGAGTTAGAGAAAAGGAAGAAGAGGCACTTCAATTTTTAGTGGGCATTGTACATTGCAGCTAGAACAAGTTGCATAAAAGTGTGAACAGATTAGGCTGCATGTATTCCTCTAAAAATAAGTAAGGGAGCAGTTTTAAATCAACATAAACACTACTCCAAGATGGTACTAAACTGCAAAAGCCCCCTTGTTTCCACAGTCTGTTCTCCAAGGATGTGCTTTTACAAGACATTTTCTAGTGTAAAAAGTTTGGGTTTTGTAGCACACCTTTTCAAGCATTTCCATTTTTTCTCCTTCAGTTTTAACTCTGTAAACAGAAATAAGCAAGATGTCCTTCCTTGGGATATGGGGAAAAAAATAAAAATTGCTTTCATTTCTACTGAACGAGTTCATCCACGTGAATTCAATCACTATCCGACTCTTCTTTGTACTTGGCTCTAATGGCTTGGCCATTCTGGAGCGGCATTTCTTCATAGTCACTCCTGTTAAACAAACCATTGTAAACATCCTGAAAAAACAGCTAGTTTTCAAGCGTTAACTATACAAGGAAAGTTCTACAATAATTTACTGCAAATACAAGGAGATTTTTGGGATACGGAACAATAAGGAATGCCTTTTCTGTTTAGCACGTGAACAATACACACTTCTGTCTGCCAAAGCAGTCCTCAAGGTGTGCTTCCACTGCAATGCCTCTGGAACCCTACTGGGCGGCTGGTAATGTCTACTCAGTGGCAAGGCAGCAACTATCACTACCAAACAGAAGCCAGGCCTGCACATGCACAGACAATAAATCCTTACACCTAAAGCAATGTAACGGTTAATCCATACAGAAAACACACTTAGGTTATGGTTATACCACCTTATCCTCATTTTGCCCCGACAACTGCTGGTGTGGTGCATTTGACCAAGGCTAAGCTCTCAAGGATAGAGAGCACCTAGGTGCCATTCCAGCACCTAGCCCAGTGGGGCTCTGACCTAGTTGAGCTTCTCAGTGCTACTGTCATACTAATATCTGGCTCACACCTGAACACATCTGGCAGTTTTTCTGGGTTTTATTAACACCTTTTGACAAATGTTGGGCACTTAGAATGACAACTGCTGCACAGCAGGACAATGCTTATTTTAAGTACAGCCCAGCTTCCAATGCTTTCCCACTTGCTTCCTGCGATCCTTCCCAACTTTGGCACCAGAACTGTCTGTTCCCTCCTGCTACTAGGTTTCTCTGTTGCAAACCCCACCCACTTGCATTCCCCTACTATAACCTGCTGTTGTCTTCATCCTTACCTTTAGAGGCAGGGAATGTACCTATTTGTACCAGTGTCAATGAACATGTTTTATGGATGCCAGATAAGAAAAAACAAAATAATAGGAAGTCTCATCGTGTTTATATTCTGGAAGGAAGCCATTCAAAATGCAAGAATCAAGCTACAATTCCCTTCTTCTTTGCATTCAGTGTGTCTGGATTTTGCTATGAACCACCTCAGGTTTTCAAACATAATTTGAGTAAAAGGCATTCCATACCCCAGCCACCCCCTGGATATTTCTTGCTATCACTGCTTACCCATAAATCACATCATCATCTGAATCATTCAGCATAGAAAAGGCAGGATTGTCTTTCAATTGTGACTCTGGAAAATAAAAAAGGGTTTCATTTAACCCAAAACATGTATTACTGACCAGCTTTAAACTTTTACATTAGACCCCAGCTTTTATCCACAACTCAATCAGAAAACTTAACAGTTTCCAAAGACATTTATAACTGGGATCCAGATGGAGAAAAGGAGCTGGAATCTATCATTTAAATTCTGCATTGCCTTTCTTGTGAATGCTGGCATGCTGTAGAGCTGAGAAGTTGATATCCTTCCTAAAGCCATCAGAAAATGGGTATTCTTCATACTGCATCACAGCAACATTATTTCCTCCCTGCACAGCTTCCCAGTGCAGTATTCTGAAATACCAGGTATAAATGATGTGAAATCAAAAAGAACCTAGGTGGAAAGTACAGACAGGCTCTTTGTGATGCTCAACTCCTTTCCAAAAATTTAGGATGAAGGTACTGGCAGTTATGGCATCTAAAACGATTTAATTATTACCGTACATAGAGGTTAACAGCTTAATAAAGGTATTTTTCACCGTCATGGAAGGTAGTGAAAGGAACGGATACAACTATGATGAAATGGAAGATGTACACTTCCCACTGGTTTATTCAGGACACAATTCTCTCTTGGTTTCTGTATAAAGGCTTGTAGATAAATACATCTTTGATGCAAGCTGGTAAAACTGCTTAACCTATCATGGAAGCCAAGTAGTAAAGGGATGAAGTGAGGTCTGGGGGAGAAGGGGGCAAGCAAAAAAAAAAATCACGCTTTGAGAACAAAATAAGGGAAAATAAGGAATTAAAATCAGTCCATTTGACTTTGGGTTTTTTAGCATAGAAAATCAGAGCTCCCCTTGCCCCCTTCACTGACCAGGACACATCCAATTGCAGCTGCCCCCCACCCCTGCTTTGAGGTGCTGAGCAACCCTGATATGCTGGTGCCCTGCCCATGCCATTGCCCCTCACTCCCAACCCACAGCCCTCCCCCAAACCCTGCTGGTGCCCCTCACTCCCCACCCACAACTCCCCATCCCCCTAGCCTCCAGGGGGAAGAGGGGGAGCAGGGAGAGAGCTGCCAGGGCTATGGGGCTAGGAACCCAGACCCACAGCCCGCTGCCCCCTTCAGCAGTACCTGAACCCTAACCATCACCCATGGGAGGCAGCAGCTGCTTCAGTGGAGCAGAGTGCAGAGTTTGGCTCCCCTCCACCACAGGCAGCGTGGCCAGAGCAAAGCCCATTGGGAGCTGGGGAGGGGTGCATGCAAGCTGCCCGCTGCAGGCTTGGGGCTCCCTGCCCTGTTGCCCTCTTCCCGGGGCCTCCACAGCCCAGTGGGCAGGACCCGGTGCAGCAGGACAGTGGGGCCAGGTGGGGAAGCTTGTTGCTGCCACCATGGCGAGGTGCTCTCTGCCTACCCAGGCAGCGACAGACAACTCCGCACCGCCACCCCTGCCCCTGATTGACCATGGCAGTGCAAGGCTTACGGCACTGAGCTTCCCCACCCCGCTCTGCTCTGCCGGATCCCACCTGCTGGGCTGTGGAGGCCCCAAGTGATGGGGCAGCAGGGTGGGGAGCCCAAGCCTGCAGCAGGCAACCCACCCCTGCCCCACGAGCAAAATCTGGGGGACACGTGCCCCACCATACCCCCTTGGGGAAATGCATGCAGCAGCAAGAAGCCAGTCCCCCCACGGCCCCTTGGATGAGCTGCCCACAGCCCTGTCCCTCTCCCTGCATTCCTG